AGCCAACGCACGTCACATCAACACACCACCTCACAAATCTACTCGCCGGACACAAGTCACCTTCCTGATGTATAGCGGTGTGCCCTGGCGGTGTGCTTTGGGGCACGGGTTGACTTAGCCTGGAAGCCAGACTGTTGCCAGGGGCTTTACAAGCCCGCTTCCCGGCCAACATGCCCCCAAGGCCTGAAATTATACCTTACTCTTCCCTACCCGACTGTGGTCAAATTTCCTTGTTGGCCCCAGAAACTGGTTTGTATCGACCTTGGCAAGAGTCTGGGTTCCAGGTTACAGGTGACCCCGCTACCGCACAGTTCTCGATCCTTGCCAGTCGCGTGACCCAATTTTTAACAGGCCAACTTTAATGATGGTGGTTTCTAGTTTCCGCTAATAACGATAACAAATGTTACAGGAAGATTAAAACGACAGAAACCCGAGCTGCGTGTTGACAAGGACGGGCGGAAAGAGGGGGACTGATAGATGTAGAGAGAGATGACTGAGGGATGATAGAGAGAGAGAGAGAGAAGAAGAAGAAGAAGATAAAGAAGGGCAGAAGCAAAACTCGAATTATGGAACATTAAACTCAAAGTATCAATGGAGATCTATAGAACAAGCGAAAAAGTCCTATGTTGTCAGATCGGATGACTCAAGAAATTGGAGACCTGTGTAGTGTTGGGAAAAGAACAAGATGTAGACTCAAAAACCACCTGGAGAAGAACTGTGACAGATGACCTGGCGTCCATGGGATTATCCTGGCGATCAGTAAAGAAGGCGGCCAAGGACAGACCAAGGACATTACAGGTCCTTGGACAGACCCAGATGGAGGGAAGACGTCATGGCCTTAATTATGTCTCACAGGGATGAAGAGGAACAGTAAGTAAGAAGAGACAATCCGTGCGTGCCTGCGCTAAGCTACTGGATTGATTCTGCTCACGTGTAACCTAAAATCCAGACTGATCCCAGGGCCCACACAGACACTCATAGCCTCTACCAGGCTTCGGAACGATAGTAAAGATATAGAGTTTGGAGAGAGCAGAAGTTGGCCTAAGAGACAGATAGCATACCATATTCGGCTATGTGTGACTGGCTTTTATGAACACCTTGTGGTACAGGCAAATTGAACCCTCTATGGCCTACTAAATCCTCTGGACAGCTACATTCTTTCCAGGCCGATTTCTACTATTTATTACCTTCGCCAAGAAGGTTATGTTTTCGTAGGCGTTCGTGTGTCTGTCTGTCTGTCTGTCTGTCTGTCTGTCTGTCTGTAAACACGATAACTTGAGAAGGCTTAAATGGATTGACTTCATATTTGGTAGGTGGGTAGGTCTTGATGAGACCTCGAAATGATTAGATTTTGAGCCCCCTGGCGGCTTCTAATGGTACTGCAGCTGAACTTCCGGTTTTGATATCTCGTGATCTGGACGTGCTAGGGTCACGAAATTTGGATGGTAGGTAGGTCTTGTGCTGGGGAATAAGTGACATAGGTTTGGGCCCCCTATCGGCTTGCTCAGGAACTGCAGGGCCATTTCTTTGAAAATATTCATAAGAGGATAACTCAAGAACCGGTGGACGGATCATCATGATTTTTGTTATGTAAGTAGCTTAAGTGATGCTTGACATAATTATGCGACAATTATGCAAATCTGGACGTAATTTGCATTATTAATGAGGACATTCGGTAAATCAGCTGCATTACATTATAGGACTATTCAAGCTTGAGACATATGTAATTGACAACGAGAAAAACACAGATATTAATTATGTAAATTAACACTTAATTTGCATAATTAATGAGAAAATGTTATAATTCCATAATGGTAACTGCCTGGAATTTCATACTTAGAGTATTTGCAAGTTAAGTGAATGTGAACATCATTAAACATAATTTATTCAAATAAGGACCTCATTTGCATAATTTATGAGGTAATGATAGAATGGCTTTCTTTTTTAAGATAAGGCTGTCTTTTATGGATAATATGATCAACTCATATAATTCATGCAAATGAGGATCCTATTTGCATAATCAGGAGGAATAATCTTTACTTTGTCATAAAGATTAACATCATTTGGCGAAGGTATGAGATCGTGGGACTCTTGTTCAGCCTGCAAAAAGCTCTCTGGTGGAGACTAACCTAATGGAGTAGGAAGGACAGTCATGTCTCAGGTGTTAGAAGATCACATTGCGTCTAGAGTTACCGTCAACAAGGCTGGTGCCATTACGTGCTCCTCTGTTGTGTTATTACCGTGTTTCACCAAAGTATTGGGTTATGTGGACACGGATACCTCCCATTCCCGCCAAATAACTCACATTCCTTGAAAAATGCCGAAGTGCCCATCACGCATGTACCGTACGATCGGCGTACAATTGAAAACTTGACTTGGGACAGTCATGCATGTATGTGTAAATGTATTTATTTAAGAATCAAATAAGAGATATCTGGTGATTACAAAATACTCGATACGGATTCGTGATACATAATATACAAACTACATGCTATATATCTGTATCTGTATAGCCGGTATAACCGTAACACACCAGCTTCGCAGGCACGCGGCGCGGCGGCAGCTGACTACATTACACCGATCGACTTGTTACACCTATATATATAACCCTTGAACATCTAACTCTAAACATTGTTTAAATCTATCTAATGATAATGCCCCTACTGCACTTGGTGACAACAAGTTCCACTCTGCGATAGTTCTAGGAATGAATTTTTGAACACCTCAATCCTTGGTTGATAACTCCAGTACTTGAAGGCATGGGTATATATTTCTTGTTCTTTTCTGGGCTGGTATTAGGTAGAACGAGATGTAGAGAGAGAAGAGAACTGGAGCTAGCATAGGATAGATTCCAGGCTACTCCCAACCCAGCGCCGACCTTGGTTGGATAGCGGTCGGGACTCAAAGTCGTGGGGAATCCTGAATGTCTGACAGGGGCTTTAGCTACTTGAATATTCCGTTACATGAGCTTATGTCGTCTCGTGGTTTTCCTTAATGCATAACTCGTTGGTACATAAAGTCATTAAGTACTACCAGGTCAGGATCATAAAGATTATGAGATTTGCTATCACGAATGCTCAGTCACGGCAGGGGATAAATATCCCACGTGTGGAGAAAAACTAAAAAGCAAGAACAGGTAGTATACAGGTAGAGTACATGGCCTTGTGTCCGTTTTTTGGAACAAGCCATGCAAACATTGTTATTGGAGTTCGCCATGAGGGTACCAGGAGGGACTGGGGTATGTAGTATTTGCCTGCCGCATTGGTTTTCACCACCCGTATGGGCAATTAGTAAGATCGTGTGGCGTAACGGCAGGGTGTCTGGTCCAGAACCCTGAAGTACTCTGTTCGAATTCTGTCATGTCGCTGATCTTGTACCCTTGGGAAAAGTACTTTGCACGATTTTTCTCACCCCATCCATGGGTACCTGACTTCGGTTGGAGAGGTAAAAGGCGGTGGAAAAAGAGGTTGGACCAAGGGCAAGGATGGACCCCGCCTCTCGACGAAGACTAGATATGACTACCTTAAACTCGGCTTGTTTGACAAGGATGCCCAAGAAATGTCCGGAATGTTTCTCAAGAACTAAAGAGATTCTCTCAGGTCAATCCTGAAGATTAGGTCAATAGGCGGTAGTGTTCGACTGATAGCTGATCCTAATCCTACTGGTAACCTGCATCTCAGAAAACCAACGATCCAGAGTTCGATTCTCACCGTGGTGTCAGACTGAACATGCACCTGCTCCTCGGCTCCATAGCCAACATGCCCCGAAGATTGTTAACTCTCCAATCTATGTAAAACTATGTAAAGTTCTGGCTCCGGATCAGTGTTTTGCACCCGTTTTGCGACTTTTTTTTCTAGAATATTGCACTTTTTCAACGATTCGCCTTCGCCTCCTCCTTCCAACCAAGGAGGTTGAAAATCAAATTTAATTTTTCAACTTCCTTGTTCCAACTTAATCACCTGGGGCTAAAAGAGGTCCTTGCAAGTCTTCTAACAAGAAACGAGCGACTCTACTTTCGCTTCACATTTGCGTTTGCATGCGGTGTTCCTCAGAGTCAGCATCCTTCGCTCAGACGACACCTGACGACAACCTATTTACGGTTCCCTTCAAAACATTTACAGAAGCGGGATACAAAATCCTCCTCTCCCTCTCCTTCTCTCTCGAGCTCTCTCGTTATAAAAACACGAGCGCGTAGCGGAGGGGGATGATCCAATTTCCTGCAGAGTAATTGGAAATAAACATTTGTGCGTTGCCATGGCGACGGAGGCTCTTTATTGGACGTCCGTCCGCTCCACGTGAGTAGATTATCCTGTAATGTGTGTTGGGGGGACGGTACGTTTAGGTACTCTCCAAGCAGAGGTTTGGGTTTTGGGGTATTTTTGGCATGTTTTTAGGCTTTTTTTTAATCGGGGTTTATTTTTTGCAGTGGAATTTTTTTTTCATGGGTTGGGATGGAAAAAAAATTCCAGTGCAAAAAATAAACCCCAAAACCAAAACCTCTGCTTGGAGATACCTTTAGGGTCTCTGGAGACGATAGGAACAACAGTTATATATAAATTCAAACATCTCGCAAAATGTCGGGCATCTCATACTCCACTTCACACAGAAAAGAAATCAAACCCAACAATAACTATATCAAAAGAAGCATTGGTAGCATTTATTATCATTTCATCATGTTCTTAACTCGCAAATAGGCCTCGGGCATGGATTTGCAATAATCTTTCTGTTATAAACCATAAAAAGAAGATTCATCTTAAGGGTCTTTGTCATTTGAAACAGTCGATGCCATATCGCAGAATGACAAATCAAGCGTATTATTATAACATGCTCCGTCAGCAACATGATGTTTCGTGGTGTAGAAGATTAGGATGTTATTAGGATGAGGCTTCTTATCCCAGGTTCAAATTCGAGCTTGTTCTCTTTATCTTTTTTTTACTAACATATTCAAAGACAAATCAAACTCTACAGCATGTACTGGATCCTTTACTCTTCACTGTCACTAAAATCTTTACTAGTCTTCACGATGCTGTCATACATTTTCCATTAAATGTTGTTGAGATTTCATACCTCAGTAAAACATTTAGTTTTTTGTGTGTGAATTTCTTGTACTGGCAATAGAAGAACAGACTCCAAGCCAAATGGGTATAAAAAGGGCCCTGTGGAGCCTGCATTGGAGGCTACTTCCCAGGAAGGTAGCGTAAAATCGTAAGGTATTCTGGTGGAAATTTCACTTTTCTCAAGCCTTGCGCGAAGAATACGAGCGCCACGGGAGTTCTGGTTGATTTTCTGCATGTAAAGAGGATTTTCCAGCTAATTACGTGATTACTAAGTGTTTTCCTGTAGACAGAAGTAAGGCTTACTGTGGTGATTGAGTGGAAAACGGCTCAATTTGCTAGCTTCTACGATTAGGGCAATTTGGGGGCTTGTAATCTCTTTGAGATGATTATAAAAGATCTTAGGTCTGGCAAAGCAAACACTTGAAGGATCTTGAAGTAACGGTAGGCAATTTACAAATTTCTACAGGTACAGTTTCAGATGTAAAAATTCTCTATTGTATTTACGTAAGCACTGCGTAGACGGGACACCGACACAATAAATTTTTACTTTCACTCGTTCTGCAAGCACAGAACATTCGGCAGAACGCACTGCGCCTGTGCGAAACCCCTGACTTTTGGTTTGCCTTAGATGTTGGGTAATCGTTGCATCAGAATTTTACCTGTCGCAGACGATATCTTTTCCGACATAACGTTTTACAACTATAGAGGGGATGTCATCCTTATAATATCGGAATACGACCTTTTAAAAGAAAGACGTTCTGTCGACTTGCAATGCACAATACATTAACGTTACGAGTTTCACGTTCTGCTGGTGTGCTTCAAGCTTGCCACACTACTCTCTAAGCAGAGGTTTGGGTTTTGTCTCGTTTTTGGCGTGTTTTAAGGGTTTTTATATCGGGCTTTCTTTTTTGCACTGGTACAATGTATCTGTTTTTACGCCGTAAAAAAAAGATACCACGCCGTAAAAAAATATTTTTACGGCGTAAAAAAAGATACCAGTGCAAAAAAAAAAGAAAGCCCAATAAAAAAAGCCTGAAAACACGCAAAAACCCGAACCTCTGCTTGGAGAGTATGCCACACGCCCTGTACGTGCCCAACACGCGCCTTACGAAATCATTCTCTAAACCCAGGAATAACCCAGCCCCAACAACAGCACAGCGTAACCGCGCACGGATGATTACATAGCAACCGTTGCTATGTCGTAACAAAATATTTTGTCCGTTGCCATGACAACCCATATGGCTCGAGATGAAAAATCTTTTTAAGTGTCAGATTGCGGACGTGTTAGGGATAGCCGTGTCGGCAGATTTGACTAAAAGCGAAGACGGTATTTTTTTTCTAATCCCCAAACCGGCTTAGTGTCTGCGGTGAGCTGTTGTTAATGCGACCGTAGATATGCTAATGTTTGGTGTATAGCGTACTGTATATACGGTAATAGTATAAAGTCAAACCTGTACTAGAGACCACCTCTACATAAGGATCACCCAGCGTATTTTTGTATGGTCCCTTATATGGGTCTAGTGGTTGTTCGCAATATTTTACATGGCGTAGAGTCAATGTGCTGGTGACGTCTTAATAACCTATTGTTTCGTAACTAAAGGCGCACACTATGGATGGGCAATGGATAAGAGACGTTACAGAAGCGTCACCTAGCGTCCGTGTATAACAGCGCATGGCGTGACACAACCCCGCAGCTCTTCGAATGAAGAAAGCTCGTCTGTGTTGGTAGAATACAAAGTTGTAGAGTTTAAACTTTGTACAAACACAAGAAGGAACTCACTCACTCCTGCTCTTGTTGGGATCAGCAGCTGACTACTACGAAATGTCGATTGCTATGTCAGAGGTAGTCCACAGAAACGTGGTTTTAGGGCAGTGCCTATCCGGGTAGGCGAGCGGTGATGACCGAACAACGTGTCCATATTCTAGAACGAGACCACACCGACATTCGGTCGAGGTACCTAGCTACGTCCTAAAATCACAGACCGAGTGGCGTAACGGCAGAGTGCTTGGCCCGGAACCAGGAGGTCCCGAGTTCAAATCCTGCCATGCCACCGACGGTGCTTTATTTCTTGACCGTCCAGACGGCGATTTCCCTCACCAGTACCCACATCTTCTGCTCCCCCGTGACCGTCACCTTCAGACACTTCACCTCAACTGACCCCAGTCCTTCCGTGCCCTGAGTCGCCACTTCAAATCTTCCGTTTTCGACGTCTCCGAGTTTGACGTAGTCGGCACAGTTCGGCGTGTTGTCCTGCTGGTTCACAGACAAAAGTCGCGGACTGACTTCCAGAGTCCCCTTCTCTATGATGTCCTTTGGATGTTCTTCAGAGCCGGTTTCTATAACGACCCTGGAAAGTCTCGCTGGTTTCTCAAAAAGAACGACGAAAAACTTGTCCGACCTTCGGCGCTTCTGCCCAGAAGTATCCTATCTCTGGGCCGTAGGCAAGCTGCGGCTGGAACTCCCTGTAAGCGGTCATGTTCGCGCTCACCACCGCTGGTGGGTTGTCAGAGTCCGTGTACGTTCTCTTCGGTGTCGTCGAGCCAACGAACCCCTTGTCGGTAAGTTTTTGTATCTTTCCCGCCAGTGATGAGTGTAAGCCAACGTGCTGGAAGAGGGACGGCTGGTGTATGAATTTCTTCCCGGACGCTTGCACGATGTGCAGGAACGAGAAAAACAAGACATCCACCGGCGACTCCTGGTAGAACAGCATAATAAGATCGGCCAGACGCTGGAGATCCGAGGATCTGAACAACTTTCCGATAAAACCGAGTCCAGAAAACTCGAGCACCGTCCAGTCAGAAGACTTCATTCTTTCCAAGTATTCTTTTATCCCTGTCAAGAAGTTCTGGGCGGAAATAACATCATCTTCCAGTTGCATATAATATTCGGACAAGTTTCGGCAGTATTGGAACAAGAACGCGTAGTCCACGCACTGTTTGGATCGCCAGCGCACGCGTTCAGGACTGTCTTTAAACTTAGTTTTCAAATTTTCGAAACTTGGATAAAACGACCGCGGGGCCTGGATGACTTGCATGAACCCGCTGCTGAGATGCTGAGAATACCTGCGGGAAAGTTCCGTGGAAAGTTCCCTGTTGTAGTCTGTGTCGAAGTCTGCCAGGAAGACCACGATGACGATCTGTTTGCGTTCGGCCTCTGTCGTGTGACTGATCAGAGAGTCTAGAGTGGTGGTCAGATACGAGGCGTTTTCGTCCCGCTTAACAGTGGGGATCCCTATGGTCAGAAAATCCTGGGAAAAATGGAAAACACAGTACGAAAATTGTCATTGTCGTTGTCATTTATGACGCACCAAATTCAACCCCACATACATTTTGATGACTTAAAATGGACGAAAAAAGTTGGGTTGACCAGTCGTAAATAAAATGTCAAAGAAAATTCGGGTAAATGTCACATTTTAACAAAAGCAGGTTCAATTTTGATCAAATAGAAATGTGGTCTTTTAGATGGTAAAATTGGCATCTATTCATGGATGAGTTTAGCCTGGGTACCATACTACTCGCTTAGGGAAGCGAGTGTGGGAGCCCCGGCCTACAAGTACGATGGTACCAAGGCTAGGATGAGTTTGCCTTCTTTAGACAACATTCCCTGAGTACCTTTGTCCGGACGTAGACTGCCTGCTAATCGTATGGAGTCGGTGACAGCACCAGGCGGTCTGACCGGGTTTAGCGGGAGGTGGTGAGGAAGTTTTTGTGCTGCAGGGCAAGATCCGTTATGTAACATCGGGACTATTGACTAGAGTTCCATGATCTCATACCTTCGCCAAATGATGTTAATCTTTATGATAATATTATGTAACATTCAATAGGACGACACAAAAATGAATTAATCTAGTCAAGTCAAGTCAAGTCAAAGCCTTTATTTTCCTTCGAATGCTTGTTCGGCGCAAGGCCGCTTTTCAACAAGGTCGAAGTTGAGGGGAGGGGTCACGGATAAGAACCAAATCCATACAAACATAAATAATAAGTAATTAAATTAAGTCATCTCTTAACAATACATTGCAAACAAGAGTTCCGAGATCTCATACCTCCATGAAATATGGGCTTGAGATGTAAATGTAATTTTTTTCTTTAATTACGCAAATGACCGCTGCATTAACATAATATATGCATCGTGATGTTAACTTTTGATTAACTTCCCAATGTCCCAAGTATGACATTCCCATCATTCACCATTGAGAAATCATAGATTTTTTGCATCAATTATGCAAATTAGGTCATCATTTGCATAATTAGTATCTGTTGATGTTCCATCTGCCATAGGTTACATACATTACATGTATGAAAGTTCTATAATGTAAAACACTGTAATTATAGAATTTCCTCATTAATTATGCAAATAAAGTCCTCATTTGCATAATTTGCAGTTAATTATGTACATCTCTCTGTCAGATACCTACACACCAAAAATGATGAAAATACGCTGTTCCTATCTGGACTTATTGGCTTTCAAAGATTTCGCCCGAAAGTCCCCTGCAGTTCCTGAACAAGCTGCTAGGGGGACCAAACCCACACCACTTATTCCTGACAGGAAAAGCTATCTGTCACCAAATATTCAAGACCATAGCATGTTCAGGACCAAAGATACAAAAACCGGAAGTTCTGCTGCAGTCCAAGGTCATCCACCAGGAGGCCCATATTGACCTTGACCTTTGTCTTCCTAAGACTTATCAGCATACCAAATATCATCACAATCCATAAAGGCGTTATGAAGTTATGCTGACTACAAAGTTGCGGAAACACACACAGACACACAGACACACACACAGACACACAGACACACAGACAGACGCCGCCAAAAACAATACCTCCATTTTTCATGGAGGTAATAATAAGATTTATTCAGGATGTGGAGGTGCCAACATATATATGACCCTTACATTCTGGTTGTACATTCATGGTAGTGACATTCTTTCTACAATGTCTATGACCTTCCCTTTACCTGCTGTATGCGCCGTTCCATTCTGGGTTTGTGTCCGCGGAGTGTCTTGTTCATGGAGGCTAACAGCATTTCTCTCTGGAGTTCACAACTCTGAACGGCTTTCTGAAGGTCAATGTGTGACGTCACGTTCTGAAGTTCAGTACCTAGGTACGTTCGGAAGGAAAATCAGTGGTAACCTGACTACACCAAGCTTCTATGAGACTACCCTCCGCCCCCACCTCACACACGCACACGCTAGTCAGGTCCCAGCTGACTACATCACGCTTCTAGCAGCCATCTATATGTATGTTTGTATGTCTGTGTGGGTGTGAGGGCGTTTATGTGTGTGTATGCTTGTTTGTTTGTATGTATGTACGTATGTATACATAGATATAATTCATGTATGTATTATGTAACATTAGGACTATTGATAATATTATGTAAGTATCAGTATGTATGTGGGTGTGATATGTGTGTCCACTCGCGTGTGTGTCTGCGTGTGTGTTTATGTATATACATGTATGTATCTATGTATCAGCATGTATGTATGTATGTATGTATGTATGTATGTGCGTGGGTGTGCGTGTGTGTCAGGGTGTGTGCGTTTATGTATGTATGTATCAGTGTATGTGTGTGTGTGGGGGGGGTATGTATGTGTCTGTGTCTGTGTTGTGTCTGTGCAATTTCTTTGTGAGTGTGTGTGTGTGTGTGTGTGTGTGTGTGTGTGTGCGCGCGCGTATGTGTGTAGATGTTACTGACATTTGTACACTCACCTGTTAACATCCAAAAGTTGAGGAACATCGACACGACCATGCAGACCAGCACGACTTGCCGGAGGAACATCATCCGGCGTATCCGAGACAACACCATGATCCAAGTTCTCGTCTGCCTATACAAGATACATGGATAGCACTCGCTATTTTGCATACATATCATTTATTCAGCGGACATACAAGTAAAGGCAAGGTTTTTCCGACTGGTCTTGCACCAAAGCCAAGGTCGGCATCAAGAGGACTCGGACCATTAGTAGACCGACCGGTTCAGTCGTTTAAGCGTTACTTTGTTCCAAAAGAAGGCGTCTCTCACACCGTTCCGTCTGGCCCATGGCCTTTGGCACTTCTTATTCCAAGTCATGTTTACCTGTAACGTTACACCTGCCAACTGACAACATCTCCCATCAGCATTTGTGCGAAAGTGTCTTTTGTGCTGATCTACTACTACAGTTGACTGCCCTTTGACAATGAGACAAAAAATAGGCAAAGGTTTGAAGAACGTAACTTAAGACGAGTTTGATCTATGAGTTAGATGAGTCTGGTTAGAGTGGCGGGGGGGGGGG